GTGTTCTGTTATCCTATATCCCACGTGGGGTGCCCCATAGGGAGTGCCCCAGGTGGGGTGTCCCATATGGGGTGCCCCATGCCATGTGGGCTGCCCCACAGGACTCCAGCCCCACCACACACACCTCTGAGCCTTTTCCTGCAGCCCAGGGAACAAAACCTCCCCAGTCCTGACACCACCCAAGCTGCCCCCCAAATCCAAGAGCATCTTGTATTTTCCCAGCCCTAAAGACCTGGAAGTGGCCACAATCAGCTGAGGTTTGGCTGCTTTCCCACATGATCAGCTGGAGGGATGGGAGCAACCACTTCCACAAGGGGCAAAATATCTCTAAAACCACCTCCCTGCCCAAACAGCCTCTGGTCCGTGGGCCGAACTGGGACCTCACAGGCTGTACTGGGACATTATGGGCTGAACTGGGACCTCACAGGCTGTACTGGGACCCCGTGAGGGACTTCATGGGCTGAACCGGGATTGGTTGTACTGGGACCTCATGGGCTGTACTGGGACCTCACGGGCCGAACAGGGAGCCCATAGGGGAGCAAAATTCAGCCATCAACCCCTTCCCTAGCTTTGGCAGGAGCAGCCAGTTCTGCAGAGCTGCAATGGGGAAACTGAGGCACAGAGGTGGCAGTGGTGGAACTAAGAGCAAAGCAGAGCTCTCCAGCTGTGGGATGTCCCTCTGCCACCGCCCTGGGGACAAGCCCAGGGTACTGGGCCCAGCGGTGCCCTCCTACCTGCACGCGGACCTCCGGCAGGTTGACCTTCATGGCCAGCTCCTCGCGGCTGTAGACGTCGGGGTAGTGGGATTTCTCGAAGGCGCGCTCCAGCTCGTGCAGCTGGTACGTGGTGAAGGTGGTGCGGTTCCGCCGGTGCTTCTTCTTGGGCTGCTCCTCCTCGGCGGCGGCCGGGGGGGGGCCCTCGCCGTCCCCCGGCTTCCGCAGCTCGCCCAGCTCCCCCTCGCACTTATTCAGGAACATGGTGGCACCTGCCAGGGGACCACGGGGGTTAGGGGGGTATGGAACCCCCCGGGGATCCATGGATGGATGGACAAGGGGACGGAGGGATGGGTGGACGGGGTGACCCCGGGAACAGGTTACGCAAAGGCGTAATCCTCTCTGCCGCGGCGTTATCCCAGGGCTGTGGTGTCCCAGGGAATGATCCATGGTGCTGAGGATTGACCCATGGTGCTGGGTACTGACCCATGGACCTGGGGACTGACCCGGTGTCCCAGGGACTGACCCATGGTGCTGGGGACTGACCCATGGACCTGAGGAGTGACCCATGGACCTGAGGAGTGACCCAGTGTACCAGGGACTGACCCATGGACCTGGGGAGTGACCCATGGACCTGGGGACGGACCCATGGACCTGGGGACTGGCCCAGCATCCCAGGGACTGACCCATGGTGCTGGGGACTGACCCATGGTCCCAGAGACTGACCCAGATACCCCATCCCTGGCTCTGCTCTCAGACACCACAAGGCCAATGAATCCACCAGTGCTGAGAGGCAAATTTGCCCTGCAGTGGAGGATTTTATGGAAACACAGCCACTGAGAGCCAACCCAACCTTGCCCTGCCTTAGCCTGGAGGGGACCAAGCCTGGGTTGATCCCTCCTTCCATCCCAGCTCCTCCAGCCCCTGTTCCCTAGGGAGCTCCAGCCCTGAAGAGCTGGAGGACCAGCAGAGCCGGAGTGACCCGGCACCGTCCCCCGGCTAATAACCGTTTTGGTGACGCTTATAAGCGTTTCCAACCCTCACAACGTTTCATCTTTAAGCTTTTTATCCGGCATCTGAAATCTTCCTGCAGTATTTGCTGGGGATTAAGGGTCCCTTTCCACCGTGAGGATGGCAGCAGATATGGAAATGGGGCAGAAAGCTTTAATCCTGGGGCAAGGGAAGGTGCTGCCTTTCCCAAACCCCCCAGCAAGGACCTCCTGATGCCCCCGTGGGAGTGGGGAGGGAAAAGGGGAGTCGGTTGGTGCTGGGAGGGAGCAAATGGGGTGCAGGCAGTGGTGGGTGTTGTGTGGTGCTGAGGGGTGTGTGGGGTGTGGTGAGTGCCCCTGTGAGCAGCACGTCTGCAGTGGGTGTGTGTCTGTGTGTGCACTGGGATGGGAATTGGGGCAGGAGTGGGGGGCTTGGGGTGCATGCTGCAAGGGGCAGGAGTGGGAGGGCACGTGTGGTGGGCTGGGCATGGCTTGGAATGTGAGGGGTGTGTGGTGTGTGTGCAGGGAGGTTTGAGCCACATGCCACCCTGTGCAGTGCCAGGGTACCGTGCTGGGGTGCAGTGCACGCAGCACACACAGCACAGGGTCTGTGCCTGCAGCAGGCAGGGAGGGCACAGAGTGAGTGTGCACAGTGTGTGTGTGCAGCATATGTGCCCTGGCACGGTGCCTGTGTGTGCAGTGCACGTGGCACATACAGCAGAGGCACGTGCAGAGCCTGTAGCACACACCACGAGGTGCATGTGTGTAGCATGTACCATGTCTGTGTGTAGCATGTGCCATGTCTGTGTGCAGAGCGTG